TAATGTGAATTTGTATGATGACTGATGATGACTAAGTAAACCGATATGTTCCATCAATTCGTTAATTATTAAATTATCAGTTTTTGTATTAATTAATCAACCAAAAAAGTTTTACTCGTTTCTGAATTGGCCTAACTCTTATCTATTTTATTGTTTTATACATACAAGCGGTAATTAATTTATAAAATAATATTTTCTCGGTAGTTGTTACGAAATAGCTGTTTGAATGTCACTCAATGTTGAGAATGGAGTTGCTTCGGAAAACTTCCGATTGTAATTAAATAAAAATAAGCATTTATTTGAGCGGCCCTGTTTTATGCAGAATATTGCACGGAAAACAGTAAATTTTTGTATATGATAATACCTTACTGACAAAACTTTTAAAATTTTCACAAATGATTAATAGTTGCATTATGCTTTTGCACTTGCTTATTAAGTAGTAGAGGCTTATTACTATATTATATTAAAAATTCAGCAAAATCCGTATATGGAAGTATAGATATTTCCTTTGTGAATTAAAATTCATACCGTCCCAATAAATTACTAAAAAATTACATAAAAAACTTTTTTTATTATATTATATTTAATGTAATACTTATTATGTTATATTTAATGTAATTATATTTAATATAAATCATTAGCAATTACAAAATATGATGCATACAGTTATTGCAAAAATATGTATAATACTGCAGTTTACGCTAAGTATACTGCTTATAATATTTTTATGTATTTTTGTAACGGTTTCGAAAATTAACAAAACATAAAAAACTTAATTTTGATATACCTTTGTAATTTGATTATACATTTGAAAAATAGTTACAAAATGTAAGTTTCATCAATTCAAAAATATCAATGTACATATATCGATGTATACATATACATGTACACATCGCTTCTGGTTGGTTCCAGAATGTAACAAATCATAAACATATATATAAATATATACAGTGGTGGTTAAAAGTAAGTTCAAAGTTGTTCTATCCTCTATAAATAGGCAAATTTCAAGATAGAGCAACTTCGTCAAAAATTATCTTAATTGACGAAATTTTTAAAAAAGCATTTTACACCTCGAAATCTCCACTTTTAAAGTTGATATTTTAAAAAACAATTAAATGACTTTCTTCGGAGTTGCATTGACAAATGGAAATGTGATAAATCGCAAAATTTTTTTCATCGAGTTATTAAACATTGAAACGAAAAAGGTCATTTTTGCTTCGATATTTAATAACTCGGTGAATAAAAATCGTGGACCTTTACAAAATTAGGAAAAAATTTTTTTGGATTTATGTCCCCTTTTAACCCGTAAAAGACACCTGGGTGCGAATTTGCACCCACAAATTTTCAACTTGTGGGCATTTGAGAACAGATAAATTTGGCGAACTTTCCCCACTACGTGAATTATGTTTATACTCTATTGTTTGAAATAGAAAGAACCCGAGGATTATTTGCGCCTTAGCCTTTGCTTGAGGCACATTGAAAATTCGTTTGGGTTGCAAATTTGCACCTACTATACATGTCAAATACGTGAAATCGGGGGAATACGAGAAAAGTGAAATTATTTATCTGATCAATCTCGAAGCTTTATAATACAAAAATGTAAGTATTTTTAAATCAAGATTATTTATTTATTGCATATAAGTGATAAAAATAGTTATTCTTCTAAAGTTTATGTAAATATAATATGAATATATTTATGTAAATAGTATAAACATTATTTTTAAACCTCACATATTAATAAAATAATTTATGCATTTATAATTGTGTTTTATTTATTTTCTTACTTCCAAAAAAACCCAAACCACCCACTACCAAGAAAAATATTTATTTATATTTTATTTAATTAAAACTATTTTTTAAAATAAAATCATTTCATAAAATCATTTAATAAAATTCAGTAAGGTTTGTATCATTTATTAAAAATTTAAAAAATGACAGTTATTTATTGAAAAAGTAGATTTTCCAGATGTTTTCCATGGTTTTATTTAACACGCAGTTTTAAAAACGTTTACTTTTTTTTAATTTAATATTACCAATAATTGATTAGTCAGAAAATTTAGATTTACATTGAAAAACACACGTTTTGCTTTAATTTTGCTCTTTATTTTCAGATAATATAAAAATTTAAAAACGCTTGGTGCAAATTTGCACTCAGATATCCTTTACGGATGTTCAAATGAGACGTATCCTTTACGGGTTAATATAAATGCACATTTTCTTATTAGAATAAAGAATAAATATATTTAAAATTTGAAATAATAAAACAATAAAACGTCGCATACATTTTAACGTATTTCTTTTTTATCTAAAAAATTTAGAGTATCCAGATAGCAACGAACATTTCTGAATCAAATATTACGCAAAAGTAATTTGTATCATAATTAAAAAAAGCTGAAGGAAACTGAACTAATTAGACTGGCTAATTACATCCATTAACGATGACTACTATATTGTCGATGATTACTATATTGTCGATATTATCTATCTGTATCTTATTGGTATATAATTATTATCGACGAAATGGACGACTTATCAATCGTATACCAGGACCACCAGGTTATCCAATTGTGGAAAGTTTTGTAAAATTTATAGGTTATTCACGAGGTAATTTAAAATTTCTTATGAACTTGCATGCTGACTAATTGGAATAGCGGTATTGTAAGAATTACGTATTACTCAATTGCTTTTATTCCTTAATTTTATTATTATTGTATCTGTGCTATTGCAATTTACGTCTTCTTTGCTGTTTTGTACGCATTTTATTGATTTTATGGTTAATTCATACAAAAATGCCACGTTTATGTATAAATCCTAATTTTTGTTATACGTGTGTGAGAAAGTAACATTTTCATAACAAAAATGTAGTATAATCCCATAAATACAAAAGACCACTATTATTATTTTGGGTGCAAAATTGATCAAGATAAAAGTTTGACGCCGAATATTATTGTAAAAATTCAAGTACAACAAATAGACTGGCAAGATTTATTTAAAAAATGAATGATTTTTAGTCAATAAATGAAGAGAAAGCAGATGAAGAACTCTGTAAAAATAATTCAGTTTATACAATGAAAAAAAAATTGGTTGAAAAATACAAAATTTGTTTCATCTTTCTGCATCAATTATTTTCTTATATGATTTTACATACGTGCATTGGCCTTCCTTATTCGTTATGTGTGAAACACACTTATACGGCATTAATATAGATAATGTTTCACCTTAACAAAATATTTAGTCCGATACGTTACTACGATGACACAATATAATTTATTACTATTATAAACAAAATACAATTTTTTTAACTAAACTATTTTGTTTCAACAAAAATTTATCGTATTTAACTCCATCTTTCGATTAAAAATAATATTCATTATCCCCATCAATATATCGTTTAGTCAATTTGATACTTGGAATTTGAACGAATATATTACTAATTGGATAACTATAAATAGCATGTAAACACAAATACATATTATTATAGTATTTCGAACAAAATAATTTAATTGAAATTAAAAAACAAAAAACGCCAAACGGATCTTGGTGCTAGATATTATACTGTGTGAATCTTACAATTTATCGGTTCAAATAAACCTCGCGCCGCATAATCGTCCTACTTTCAACGCAGCTAAAAATCTAAAGTACGTAATACCACAATTAAATTGTTCATAATATTTCTTTATGTTTATGTTACATACACACATCTTTAGAAGAACAATGGAAGTTTCTGATGAATCAATTTGATCAATACTATCCTATTTTTAAAATTTGGGGAATTTATTTTCCGGTTGTATTTATACGTCATCCAGATGATCTAAAGGTAAAAAAATATTTAAAATATTTAATTTTTTATATCTAAAACATTAACAATTTAAGTATTTCTCACCCATTTTTTATTTTGTAAGAATAAGTTTACAAATAAAATATCTTTCACACACAGGAATGATCGAATGTTCAAGGTAATTTGAATAAATTAATTATCTACATTGTATTCGAGTTAATTAATAAGTTTAGTTCTCTTTATCATTTCAGATAATATTAAGCAGTCCAAAGCACATCAATAAAAGTATGTTATATGATATATTATATCCTTGGTTGCGCACTGGTCTTCTTACTAGTTCAGGTAACGTGTATATAAAAACAATTATTACGTTCTTGCTACCAAGTTTTCATTACATTGGTAATAAAAACCTGCATGTAGAAATAAATTTAAATAATAGATATTTTAAATAATAAATAATGTAAAAAAGTTCTTCAATATATAGTGATAAGTGTGACAGTATAATGTAAATACAAATGCGTGTGCAGTCACTATGATAAATAACTTTGATATAATATATCTTCAATTAGGATCGATTACATTTTTCTGAAATTTTTTTTATAAAGAAATTTTATTTTATTCTTTCTAATTAACAACTCTAATTACAATAGAATTAATACCATTATTATTAATTAATAGAATTAAGTCAAAGTTTATCTAGTTATTAATTTACATATACATAAATATTTGTAATTACATTTATATCACAAAAAAATTAAAGAAGCTATAAAAGATTATTTTGTTTATGAAAATATTTTATTGCACAATTTTTCTTCGCATTCCTTAAATGTATAACAAAAAGAGATATAAAATAATCAATAACAATTAAAAGTACTTAATTAAAAATTAAATAAAAAATACGGATATCTTAGCAATATTTATTTCAAAACATCTCATAAAACATCATATTGATTATGTTTTAGACGCCAAGTGGCATTCACAGCGGAGAATATTATCTTCAGCATTTCATTTTAATATATTACAGCAGATCGGAAGAGCACACGTC